TCCACGGCGTCTTCATCACCTTCTGTCTGGAGCACAACCTTCAGTACCTGCTCTACACCTACCTGGAGCACTACAGGTGTGTGATATGATGTGGCCCCGCCCCTCCCTGAGCCTGCTTCTGTCTGAGGTTTCTTCCTGTTAAAAGGGAGTTTTTCCTTCCCACTGTCGCCAAACTGTTCAGTCATAGGGGGTCACATGACTGTGTTGTTGTTGTGATTTGGTGTAAACATTATGAGCCTCCTGTCCACAGACTGACCCCCAGAAACTGCTCCCTGCTGAGCAGTCAGAGCCTCTCCGAGCGGCAGCCCTGGTTCGAGATGCTGGTGCGGATCCAGGAGATCACCAGAGATCTGTCAGGTGGGAACTCTGCGCTCTCAGTTTGAGCGCGTTCCTCGTCCTCCTCGCTCCTCTCTTCATCTTTGTCCTCGTTCTCTGCTGCAGATCCAGGACTGGTGTTCCAGGCCAGTCTAACCAGTGCTCAGGTGTTATTACCTGGCAGCCAGGCGTCGCTCAGCAGTCTGCTGTTAGAGGGTCACAGTCTGCTGACTCTGGCCGCCATCATGTTCGCCCCCGGAGGAATTGACCAGGTAAACAGGAAGCTGCTGCTCTGTGTGGAAATAAAACCCTGACAGATGTTAAACACGAAGAAGTGTCGCCGTGCTTTCAGGTGATGGCTCAGGGTCAAAGGTCGGGCAGGTCAGAGAGGACGGTCGACCCGCAGCTGCTGAAGATGGCGCTGGCCCCGCATCCCAAACTGAGGGCCGCCCTGTTCCCTGCCGTCCCCCGCGGAAACGGCCCGCCCTCCGACATCTCCGTGTACCACCTGCTGCAGGTAAACGCCCACCGTCACCTGCCAGCTCGTTAGTATTCACCTCGTTATCGTCGGTGTTCTGATTGGTGTTTCCTTCCAGTCCCTCCTCCCTCTGGACCCGTCCAGGCTGTTTGGCTGGCAGGCGGCAAACACCCTCAACTCCACAGGTAAGACCCGAACGCCAGCACGAAGGTCACGGCTCAGGTGGTGACAGGAAGCCCCACCCCCAAAATCTGTGGTGAGAGTAGGAAGCAGGGAAAGATGCCCTGCAGAGGGGGAGGAACTTAGAGGAGGGGAGACAGGTCGTGAAGGTGGTGCATGCACCTGAGGTCAGACGTCCAAAGAGAGGACAAGAAGAAAGTGCAGGTGGAGACGAGTGTCGGGGTGATGGAGCAGGCGTGAAAGGTTTGAAGATGACGGTGAGACCTGCTGTGGCGGTTTGGAGACGGCGGAGGATGAAGACGTTTGACGTGTTGTAAGATTTTAAATGTACACGTGGACGTGTTTGTGATGATTCTCCACAGAAACATCGGAGCTGCCTCACTTCTCCAGCGCTCACCTGGTCCAAAGGTTCGCTCTAAAAGAGAATCTGGACTATCTCTACTTCCTCCACCACGGTCGGCCATCTTTCGCCTACGCCACCTTCCTCGTCCAGCAGCTCAGCGGCAGCGGGGACGTCAGGCTAACGTGAGTACCGCACGCTCATTTCAGAGCTTCTGTGAGGA